CCCCCGGGGGCTCCCCGGCACCTCCGGGACCCTCCAGCCCCGCACGGAGCCTCCAGACACCCCCTCGCGATGGGGACCCTCCATCCCCCGGTGCCCCCGGGGCTCCGCACCCCCTCCCCGCCGGGCTCTGGGGACTGTCCCGGGCGCTGCCCCCCGCACTCACCGCCGGCAGCAGGAGCAGCAGCAGCGGCAGGAGCCCGGCCATGGCACAGCGGGGGGAGCGCGGCCGGTGACACCCCCGGGAGCCGGAGCGCGGCCGGGCTGCCCTCGCTCTGCCGCTCCCCGCCGCGGCGGCGGCCAGAAAAGGGCTGCAAGTCCCTCCCCCTCCTCCTCCTCCTCCTCCTCCTCCCCGCCCCCGGAGCATCACGGAGCGGCCGAGCCCGCACCCTCAGCCGCCGCCACACAAAGCCCGGGCCCCCCCCGGGCTCCCCCCGGGCCCCCCCGGCCGCCCACGAAGCTGGGCACGGGGCACTTCAACCCCTCGGTTCTCGGCTCCCATCCACGGCTTTTTATCTCCTGTGCTGTCTGTCCGTCCTTCCAGCCCCCTCTCTGTCCCCTCCTCTCCTGCGTCTGTCCTTCTGTCCCCGTCCTGTCCCTGTCCTGTCCCTGTCCGTCTGTCCCCGTCCCCGCCGTGGGGTCACCGATGTCCTCCCAGCCCTGTGGGGTGGGCTGCGGTTTCCAGCCTTGCAGGGGACAAGGGACAGCGTCCCCCAGCCTGGCGACACCCCAGGGCTATCCCAGCCGTGCGGGTGACACAGAGAGGCCCCCAGAGGGGGAGGAGCGGCGGGGGCTGAATTAAATCTTTGTAATTTTGCCCTCCGCAGTGAAATAATCCCAAATGGGCGTCCCGTGGTCCCTACAAAGGTCCCCGCGTGCCGCCCTCCTTTGTGCTGGAGCTCGCAGGGTGAGCCCTGCCCGATCCCACAGCGCTGGAAATGCCAGGCTGGAAATTCCTCAATCCCCGCGTCAGCCCCGGGAGCGGCTCTGTGGGGTCACCGGACCGGGATGGGGTCACCGGACCGGGATGGGGTCACCGGACCGGGATGGGGTCACCGCTGGCACTGGGAACGGCCCGGACCCGCTGTCCCTACCCCGGGGTGGCTCCTGTGGCGGCGGTGGCCGGAGCACAGCGGATTTGGCCTCCTGTGGGTCCAGCTCCAGGTGTTTCCTCCCCACTCCGGGCTCTGCAGGTGTTTTTGGGGCTCCCAAAATCCGGCCGTTCCCACCGCTGCAGCCACCGGAGCCCCAAAATCCCCGCGGGGTCACGGTGGGAAAGCGCCGTTCTGCTGGATTTCCTCTGGAAAAGCCAATTCTGGATTCTCCGAGGCGCTCGGGGCCGGCTGCTCCCGCCTGGCTCATCCCGGGAAAGGCTTGACAGAATTCCCTCTCTCGCAGCTTTTCCATGGGATTAAACCCGAGCCAAAAAGCTGCCGTTTGTTCTCCGTCACGGGCAGAACATCTGCGAGCCACATGGAGAAGCTTTCCCAGCCAAAAAAACCACGCTGGGGCCAGGTGGGAACGGCCGGGAGCTGCCCGGGGCTTGGGATGCCCACCCGGGATTTGGGATTCCCACCCTCGGGATGCCCACCCGGGATTTGGGATTCCCACCCTCGGGATGCCCACCCGGGATTTGGGATTCCCACCCTCGGGATGCCCACCCGGGGGGCAGGGATGATCCCGCTTTTAAGGGGTTTTTATGGGATCACCGATGTTCCCGCTGCCCCAGCGGGCCGGGATGGGGTGACCGGGCTTCCTCGGGCTGCGGGGGACAAGGGGCAGCAGCCCTGGGGACATTCCCGGGAGCAGCGGCGTGGCCGGGCTGGCACAGCGGGGGAGCAGCCGCGGGATCCCGCAATTAATTTCCAGCAGCAAGTGGCAAATCCAGATGTTTTCCTCAGGCCCTTGGATAAATCCCTCCTCCTCCTCCCCCTCCTCCTCCTCCTTTCCCTCCTCCTCCTTTCCCTCCTCCTCCTCTCCCTCCTCCTCCTCCTCCTCCACCGAGCCCCGGCCCTGCCCCGGTCCCGGCCCGGTGCCGGTCTGGGAATCATCCCGGGAATCGCCGATCCCGCCCGGCTGGGCTCCATCTGCCCCGGGAAGGGAAAATTCCTGCTCCCATCCCAGCCCTCTGGAAAAGGGGCTGGCGGAATTCCTCACGGAATCGCTCGTGCGTGGCTTTTCCTGTCCCCCCCCAAAAAAGCTGCGGCTCTTTCCCGGCTCCGTGAGGTGACAAAAAAACCTCTCAGCGCTCCGGGGTCACCTCCTGGAGCTCAACCCAAAGGCTCCGGGGATTTTTTTGGGGAGGGAAATGGAATTCTCGGAGCTTTGCAACCCCTAAGGTCACCCAAAACTTCACCCGCCTGCCCCTGGCTGTGGAGTGGGGCTGGTCACGGTCCCAAAAAGCCTCGAGGGGACCCAAAATCCCGGGGGCTCTCAGGGTGCGGTGGGGCGGAGCCGGGGCCGGCTCTGAGGTGCAGGGAGGGCTCGGCCCCGCTTTTCATCCCACAAAAAAACCTTCCCCGGCTTCTCCTCTTGGCTCCCGAGCTCCCCTCGGGCTCAGCGGGTCACGCATGGAGAGGTTTCCCCGCCGGAAAGGGCAGGATTAATTAGCGAAAGGCCAATTAGAGCGGGGTGAAATATTCCCATCCTCGGAGCGTTTTCACCCCCTCGTTTTCTCCCGTCGTTTTCCAGCGGCCGCTCCCAGAAGGATCCCGGGGATTTTCCCCCTCCCTCCACCCCGGGGGGCTCGGGAAGAGCCCCCAGGACGAGCCCGGGTTGGACACTCGAGGTCTGCGAGGATTTTATGGCTTTTACTCCAAAATTCCCTTCCCGACAGAGCCGATCCCGCGGTCACTGCGAGATAAAAATGAGGATGAATTAATAAATCCACCTCGGGAGCCGCCAGGGAAAACCCGCCGGGAATCAGGGAATGGGGCCCGATCCCGCCTGCTCCGGGGGAAGAGAAAAATCCCTTTTTGGGGGGAAAGAGAGGAAAATCCGGCTGGAATCGGGCTCTGACCTGGTGTCACTTCACTGGGAGCCACCGGAGCATTCCCATCTCCGTGGACTGGAGCGGAATTTGTGGCAAAAAGGAACTTTTGCAATAATCCCTTCTGGTTTTATTTCCATTTTTTAAAAGAAAAAAGGAGAAAAGTTTTTGTTTGAACTCTCCAGAGCAGCTCGGCTGCGAGATTCGCACCTCGGGCCGTGTCTCGAGCAGGGAGGGAAGCGTGACCCCAAGACCCCAAACATCCCAAAAGCTCCAGGGCAGGAGCACCCAGCGCTCCCCAAGATCCCTGCAGCTGATTCCCTGCTCGGTTCCCTGGGATTTCTCTCCCCGGGATTTCATTCCCTGGGATTTAATTCCCTGGGATTTCTCTCCCTGGGATTTCTCTCCCGGGGATTTCTCTCCCGGGATTTCTCTCCCTGATTTCCACGCCTGCAATTCCCGCCTCCATCCCCCTCCCTTCCCCGCTCTGGCAGCTCCCGGCCTCCCTCCTTCCCTTTTCCCTTTCTTCCCGTGTTTTCCAGCGCGATCCATCACCCTGCCGGCAGCAGGGGGGATTCGGGATGAATCCTCGGGCCCTTATAAGGCCGGCCCGGAGGAATCTCCGGGAAAAACAAAGCCCAGAGAGAAACCAGGGCCTGTCCAGCTCCAAACAGCCCCGGGGGGAAAATCCCGAGGGAAAAATCCCGGGGGGAACATCCCGGGAATTGCGGGAGGGCAGGGATAAAGGACGGGACCACGCCCTGCAGCAGCAGCGCCGTTATCGATGATCGATCGATCCCCCCGGGATTGGGAAGCGATTGATGCCGGGATTGGGAAGTGATTGATCCTGGGATTGGGAAGCGATTGATGCCGGGATTGGGAAGTGATTGATGCCGGGATTGGGAAGTGATTGATGCCGGGATTCGGGGATGAGCCGGGCCGGGAGATCTCGGCTTTTCCTTGCTCAGGGCTGCGCTTTTCGCCGCCTTCGGTTTTCCTTTGGGGGCGGGGATTTGTTTTAATCGACTCCGTGCTCGGCCGGAGCAGGAGAAGATAAAGGTAGAACGGAAGAGGGATGAATGGAATAAAATAAAATAAAATAGAAATAAAATAAAAATTAAATGGAAATAAAATAGGAATAAATTACAAATAAAATAGGAATAAATTACAAATAAAATACAGATAAAATACAAATAAATAGAAATAAAATAGACGTAAATAGAATAAGAGATTAATAGAAAGGAGATATATAGAATGAGATAGAATAGAAAATAAAGAATAGAATAGAATAGAATAGAACAGAATAGAATAGAATAGAATAGAATAGAATAGAATAGAACAGAATAGAATAGAATAGAATAGAACAGAACAGAACAGAACAGAATAGGAATATTTGCACAGAAAGGGCCCTAAAACGTCCCTCCGATCCCGCTGTGGGATATTTCCCAGCCCAGACGACATCCAGGGATTTTGGGGCTCCTTTTCCCGCTCCAGGCCGGGATGTTCTCCGTGCCTGTGCCGGGAATTCCAGCTGCCGTGCCTCAGTTTCCCCTGCGGAAGGCTGGGAATTTCGCCTCCCCTGAGCCTGTTCCCAGCAGCGGCTGACGCACGAGGGGGGAGCTCATTTCCCAGCCCGTGATGAGGAAACTTAATTGCTGCCTTCATTGCTTATGCAAATGAGCCGCGAGCACCCGCGGGAGGGGCCGGGAGACTGAACGGGAACGGGAGCGGGAGAGGGAACGGGAGAGGGAACGGGAGCGGGAGAGGGAACGGGAGAGGGAACGGGAGCGGGAGAGGGAACGGGAGAGGGAACGGGAGCGGGAGAGGGAACGGGAGAGGGAACGGGAGCGGGAGAGGGAACGGGAGAGGGAACGGGAGCGGGAGAGGGAACGGGAGAGGGAACGGGAGAGAGAACGGGAACGGGAACGGGAACGGGAGAGAGAACGGGAGAGGGAACGGGAGAGGGAACAGGAACGGGAGAGGGAACGGGAGCGGGAGAGAGAACGGGAGAGGGAACGGGAATGGGAGCGGGAGAGGGAACGGGAGAGGGAACGGGAGCGGGAGAGAGAACGGGAGCGGGAACGGGAATGGGAGCGGGAGAGGGAACGGGAGAGAGAACGGGAGAGGGAGAAGGAGCGGGAGAGGGAGCGGGAGAGAGAATGGGAGAGAGAACGGGAATGGGAGAGGGAACGGGAATGGGAGAGGGAACGGGAGAGAGA